AGACGCAGACTAACTATATGCATGTTTGTCAATCCATAACCATTCACATGTTACACACACAAAAAGAAATTCTATTTATTTCATCTTTTACCATTTTATGTGAAAAAAGTAATGTCCATCATGTTGCATTAAGCAGGGCCAATTTTATTTTGGTATATGGACCCAGTAAAACGTTCCTAAAATAAACGTTTCTAGTAGAAAATTCCAGACAAAATAGTAGACAGTTCTAAAGAAACTATTTTCTTTGCAAACGTGAATAGAGCAAACTAAATTACATACCTGTACAAGAGCTGTAACCATCCCCCTTAAACCGCACACCATTGACCACAGGGCATTCACACACTTTTCCTCGAAATGTGTCCTGAGAATGTAAAAATGTTAGGAATCAAAACAACTAAAAACGCAAAATAGCTAGTTATTAATAAAGCACCTTGCAAGCTGTAATATTTGCTGTCTTGTCTTGCCAGCAGCCACCATTATTATCCAAGCACTCATTTGTTTCAACATCTGCAATTAAGAAGGTAATCCTTTATAAAAATCAATTAAATCTCATATTATCCAAAATTTTGCAATATTCTGGAATTAAGTAACTCACCACCACTCAAACAAACAGATGGTTCCGTAGTTTCCTCAAAGCCAGAACAAATAGCCTTTAAAATGGCACCTTTCTCCAACTTCCCTGCAAAGCTCATATATCAGAGAAAAATATATGATGGCAGAAGATGCTTTAGTATACAGACAGACCTCGATATTGTCGATTGTTGACAACAAGGGTGGGCAATATGGTTACATCACCACGAGATCCTTTCCCAATCTACAAATCTCAGATATTTTGCATTATTACCACATAAGAAGTTTTAATAAAAACATATATCAGAAACATTGATGATTCACTTCAAAATATTTTGCAAAAGATAAGTTCAAACACTCACCTGAGCATTTTGCTCTTCTTTCAGAACAGGATTGTCTGAATCAACATTAGGATCACCCATGCACTTTTCAATCTTATTCAGATCAAGCCCTGCATGTGAGCAACAATGACATATAATTGTTCATCGATAATGATTGAGATTAGTGAAAGACAGGCGAATAATTACCTAAAGATTTGATAACACCATCAGCACATTCCTTGTTGTATTTCTTTTCCTTCATGGGGCATCTAATTTGAAAATCAGTAACATAATCCCACCAAACCCATGGCTTCTTAGTTTCATTGGCCACCTTAAACACACATAGCTGCCTCAAATTTTCAAGAACTACATCTTTACCCTCATAACCAGAGCTGAAATCTTGTTCGGGGTCTGGAGCACAATATCTTCCATGGTTGATACATTGGGATTTGCATTGTTTGCTTATGGTGAATGCCCGTGGGCAATACCAAGTTATATAATGAGGTGTAAACTGAGTATAACCACCTTTCTCAAGAATTTGGGCCGCACCCTTAAAATCCTTCACAAACTCCATCAACATATCACACTTAACTCCACACTCATCATTGCTGTTAGTCCACAGTTCATACTCCACTCGATCATCCGGGTGTGGAACAGCCTCTCTCCAATCTAGATTCACATTTACCATGTCACCTCCACTGATTGCTTTCTTTAAATTTTCACCGAAATTTTTATTGATCAGGGCAGAAGGTATTGTTATGTTAGCGATATACTTCGCAGATGCGTGAACCTCTTCAGGTGAGTCCATGGTTATTAATGCTTCCTCCATGTCATCAGCCACAAGAACTGCAGCAGCACCAGCATTTTGGGCATTCCAAACCTTTAGAGCAAAAAAGCAATCTGCATTGCGGAAGGACAAGGTCCAAATTCATCAAAAATTCATCAAAAGAATTATACAAAAGTTTCCAGTAGAAACATAGAAAACAATGTACATCCTGCTTCAAAGGGAATTAGAGAAGCTGCATTACAGCAAATGAAATGCCATATGCAGTTCTTTGAAAAAGGAAAAATATATCAGAAACAGACAATACAAATCAGCCTCAGATTCAAAAAACATGATAGATGGCAAGTCTCATAGAACAGTTTCACAATCAAGACCTCAATCTAAAGAAAATCCAACTCAACAGTGCAAACAAATAATTTATTAACAAAATAAGCTGATATAGCAAAATCTCTAGCACAAGAAAGATAACCCTATCTATCATGAACGACTGACTTGACCAAAAGGATATCCCAATCGATAAATCAGTTATAGCATTGAACTTTACCAGAAGGGCATCTCCCAAACAGCTTCAAAGTTAACCTCAAACTAGCAAACTGGCATTAACTAAAATCAGTAAAAGGCTATCCTAACAAATGATATACTTAACCTCTAACAAGGAGACGCACCACAGATTCCATTTTTTTTTTTTCAACATAAAAAAATTAGCAAAACGGTAATCATAAAAATCAGAAATTAAGCTCAAAATAGAAATATATACTAGAATCTAAATTGAAATTACACAAAAAGGACGCATGTACCTCCACGATCAACAAGAACAAAGAAAGGCAAAGCTCCAGGCTTTGACTTGAAAGAAATCCCAAAATCATCAAAATTCTTGCAGCCCTTTCTATTTTCCTTAGGGTACATCACAGTCCCTGCCATGCTACCTCCATATTGTGGAATACCAAAGTTCCCAATTGCACTGTCATGAGTGCCCTTGATGCTGTCTGGTGACGTCACCCTTAAGCTGTTCTTTTCCACCACAAACCGACCCACCACTGATTCAGCAAAAATCAACAGAGTAAACCCCAGCAAGATTGCACTTTCCGATCTTTTGAAACAACCCATTTGCTCGGGTTTCCCGAATAGGCAATAAATTGTGGAGATCTTTTCAATCAGTGATATTTTGAGATTACTTCTTCTTTGTAGAATTATGAATAAAATAGTCAAATTTCAGGAAAATTTTCTGTGCTTGTGTTTTGGGTTACAAATCTGAGTTGAGTGCAAGGGGTCAAGACTCAAGACGTCCAGTTCACAATTTCGGATAAAATAATGGGACTGTCCTACTCTTAACTTTTCTTGAAAAAAAACGATAGATTATTTTATATAATAAAACTTATGAATAATAAAAAAAGAAAAAGACAATAAACAAATAATTTTAGTATTAAAAATAAGGAATATGCTACTTGTACATAATGTCGTGTCCATAACGGTGTCCATCCCCTCACATGAAGAAGGACTCCATAACGGTGTCCACCCCCTCACATGGAGTGGGCCATGCTACTTGTACATAATGTCGTGTCCATAACGGTGTCCACCCCCTCACATGGAGAAGGACTCCATAACGATGTCCACCCCATTATGTATGTATAGCATCACCCTATAAAATAATGTTGCCAAGGATGATCTATTCTAGGGTCTGATGTTTCATGTGTTTTAAATGCTTAGATGGTATTGTACTCTTCCCAATGGGACAAAATTACAAAAAGTGAAAAGTCTTTCAAAGATGTACAAGCCGATACGGTTTGCCATTTTAGATTATCAAACTCGTCAACCTAGTTTTTGCGGCCTATATGTGTTTGGCTCTTTATTTCTCAAATTCAATTTTAAATATACATTTTTAATAAAATAATTTTGTATATGAATTCATAATTTTTTTTTTCATACTTCTTAACTTATTATACACATTTTCCAACAAAAAAAAATCAGTTCACAATTTTTTCTTAAAAAATCTCTACAAAATTGGGACATTTTGTGATATTTAGTTAGAATCAGATTTCTAATAGATTTTGATAAAATTTAATTTTAAAGTTAATAAAAGTTTTAGATACTATAAAATGTTGGACGAAATTTAGTATGAAGAAAAATGGGGGCCAAACATGGACTTAATTTATGAAAATTTGGCAAAATTTATTATCGGTTTAACTAGTTGATCCTTAATCTTTAAAAAGACAAAGTTGGTATTCGACTTTTATTATAGTTGAACAATTCGTCCTTAACGACAACAACTATAACTACTTAAATTTCTCTTAGATTATTAGTATCAAATTTTGTGGTTTTTAAAAAATATATCAAATTATATTTTATTTTTCAACTTAAATCAATATGTAGAAATTTGAAGTGAGATATGCTTGCATAAAGGTCAAATTATGATTCAAATGAGATTTTGACGCTTTATGTGATTGGAAGCTGATGGAGACTATAAAAAGGACTAACTTGTTCATTTTGAGAAACTGGAGACATAATTGTGTCTCAGATAATAGGTTAGGGATCAATACTGCAATTTTCCGTTGTTCAACGTTGACCACTCACCAACTCCACTTTCCGAAGAGCAGAGATTGAAAAATAGGTCTTTGAATTAGTTGACCAAACATATTTGCACGAATAAGGTGAGCCACTTGTTTTGAAAATAATCCCTTTTGAAATAGTATTTTGATGAAGAATGTGTGATTAAAAATAAGAAAAAATTTTGATTTACGTGTAATATTATTTTATTGAAGATGAGTGATTGAAAATAAGAAATTAAAAAATATATTTTAAAAATAATGGAGATTAAACAAAGGCTAAATTAATGTTTCAGTGTTAAGAAAGAGCCTACAATATTCACATAAAAGATGTAACAAGACTACAAGAGTAAGCTAATATTTATTTCCAATAAATTTCAATTTTCGACTGCACGAAAAAATTCAACAGTTTAGAGCAACAACTTAATACAATTAGCGATAGATATGTAATATACGCAAGAAAGACAAAACTCGAGTACCTATACAATAAATAGCTATATGTGTCGAATCGGGCTGGATTTGCAACAGAAGAGTCAACAATGCCAGTGCAAAGGCAACGAGCCCAACATTTTTTTTGTTTTTTTGTTTATTTTAGAAAATAAAAAATAAATGTTAAAAACGGTCCGTGTGGGCCTGGAGAGCTAAAAGAGTAACTTCCACAAGCCAAAAAGAGAAGTTACCATCGCATGTACAACGCAGGACAGTCTCCGCACAATCTAAGCAGCCCGAACAGACCCCCGAAGATCTTTTCCATAAAGAATCTCATTGCTTAGACTTTCCAAATTATGCATTGTTACTTGCATAAGCCACTGCAGTCCTCTCAACATGCTTAAGCAGAATCCCATATATTTTGTTTCTTACCCTTCCATAAGCTTCATTTGCAGAATCTTCCAAATTATATGAACCTCCTCCGAATCCATCCTTTGTGTTCGGTTTTGGGGGTTTTCCTTCTTTATTTACAATCGTGTCTAACCAGTCACTCACCCTTTTAACCTTATACATCATCCCAGCTATGTCGCTGTCAAATTCCATGGACGAGCTTTTTCTTTCAATTTCATCTAAGTATTTCTCCACAAAACTCAAAAATAATTTCTGACATTCGTCCTGCAATGATGTAGCCAGGTTGGCAGCGGAACTTAAATTACTTCCTCTAGTCCACTCATGCTGGTCATCCGTTTCAGATGACAACAAAAGAGGAACATCAACGCTGCTTCTATTCTTTCTAATGATACGCGCACCTTTTGGTTTAGTACTCCGAATTGACGGACTAGATTTCTTCACCGTGATGGTGGCAGCTGTTTGATTAGGCAGCAAAGTGACGCTCACATAGTGGGGGGAAAGATCAAGAGCTACGGCTGATTTTATCCATGTAGCAGCATTTTTGTTTCTTTCGAGAGCGATATTCAATGTTTCCTTGATTGTATTAGTCCCACAGAAATCAGTTTCTGATGTTTTGATTGGACTTATGCTTGTTAGTGACTGCATTATCAGCCTGCTATGCAATAAATCATCTTGAAGATCAAAAAATTTATCGACATAAGGTTGCAGATTATCTCCTTCTGCTGAATGAAACTCCGAAAATGTGCTGTACAGAATACAGGTTAGATGAATAACACAAATGATGACAGTTGAACGTAAGAGAAATTGTTGTCACGCCGATTAAAAGTATACACAAACTCATTGAATGATACTTTATTTCTTGAAATCTCTCTTTTGATTCAAATTCCAGTGTAATGGGAAGAAAAGTGGGATCTGAACAAGATTGATGAAATGGAAGAAACCAGAGTGAATTGGAAGGAGAAAAACGTGGAATAAAGTCCACTTTCGATTTAGAGAAGCTCTAAAAATAGCCCGATTATGAAGATTCTTATATGATTGACATTTATGAAAATCACAACAATTCAACATCTCTCTCTTTTTGCCTCTTGCAAGACAGTACCATTATCACATCTTGTTTTCTGAAAGAAAAAGGGGAAACAATCAACGTAAAACTAAAGATGATTGTACATTTCCTTACCTTAGAGAATTGAGCAATCTTTCAGCGGCACAAGCTTCTTGCAAAGCATCAGCAGCAGCAAGCAGAGCAACATCTCTTTGCATGACAACCTCCTGCAGTACAGGCAATAAAATACTTGATGTTCTTTGCTACAGATTAAACTCAAATCACAAATAATAACTGGAAACGGAAATCAGAAAAATGAGTGAAGCATACATAGATTAATAATAACTCATCCTCAATGTGAAAGCTACAACCACTCGCCGCCACAAGTTTTCACTATAATGGAGACAAGAATACAAGGTTTTTCCTCTCACCTCTCTTCCACACCCAAAAATGGCCCTCTAAAATCTTTTTGTATATGTAGGAATCTTAGGGCAATCTAATAATTTTATAACCCAAAATACACCTAAAAATTCTCGATCAAGGGAATAAATGTACAATATTATTAGGCATTTAGGCTCCATACTGTCCAAAATTATTTTATTTGTGAACATTCAATTAATACACACATCTTGTGAAAAAAATTTACTTGATCCTGCGGAGCTAGGAGTTAAAGTTTTACTCCTTGACGTTATTTCTTAGCAACAAGTGAAAATATGCACGAGTCTTGTGGAAATATATTTTCTTGATTCCTGTACCTTGCCAAGCTTCACTAAGCTTGATGGAAGGGAGCTCCAAGATATTCCGCTTTCTGCCCCTTTACTGTCATGGACTAAACTGAATAATGACTTTGGCATCTGCACATTATCAACCTTTGATGCAGGAGTTTGGCCTTTGTTGGAAACCTTAACTATCCTTTTAGCCGAAGCAACATCTCTTCTTTTTGACGTGGAACTCAAATTGTCATCAGAGCTACCATACCGCCCAGAACGTGCAGGTGAAACCTGTTTATATCAATATAATGAGAATGGATTTTGCCTGGATCGAATTATCAAGGTGCATTGAAATCCATAACATGCTACTAATTCGTGTTATAATATTTTATAGCCAAGTTCTACCAATTAATCTTCTGTTTTCAGCAAGCATGAGAACTTGATTTTGATACAATACTTGGTGGTCATTTCCACTTCCCAAATTTAGTCCCACAACGGACAATCTAACATTCAAATGATTACTCGATCAAAATGCAATGCTAAACGTCATTTTCAAAAATTTATCTCATTTTTCAGAATATATGCTGCACAAATTTATTGACAGCAACTAGTTTCGAAAAATAATAGTTAAATTCTAATCCTTGCAGCCTTTTCCATTCCGCTCCCATTAAAATTTGCTAATCTACCAAATTTCAAACACCACTTAGCCCTTTGCTGATCTAAAAGAAACTCCATTTAAAAAAACAATGAAGAACGAGAAACTCACATTTGTGCTACGAGACGTTGGTCTAATTTCAGTCTTGACAACTGAAGAATCAAAAATTTCCTTCACTTTCAAAATATCTGACTCAGTCCAGCTTCTTCTCTTTGAAGTGTGAGTTGATGAGGCTGATGATATTACACCATCTGAATCACTATCATTATAAACAGAACTCGGCCTACTTTTTTTCACTTTGGCACCAACATTACAACTTTTCTTCTCAATAGGAGGTATTCCGATATGGCATTTTTTTGTCTTGTTTTCACCTGGATGGGCTTTTGAAGCACTCAAAGAGCGAACTCTTTGTCGAGATCTATCTTCCAAGCCCACAGTTCCTTTTATTAACGACTCCGAATCAGAAAATCCTCGCGCTAACTTGCTTGAATCTGATGAAGTTTCAGACATCTTTTTCTCCAAAATGACACCCTTTTCGACAATTGAATCCATGTTAGATGCCTGAAGAAACTTCATCAAATTTCCAGGTGAAACTATATCTTCAGGAGTTCCTTCACATGGATGCCTCCCTGGAACAGGGGTTATGCCTCTGAGCAACGGAACTGGAATAGCCTTCTCCAACTTTTGAACATATACAAACTGCCCTAGTTTTAATTTGTTACCCAGAATCATCTCATCGTCTTCTTGAGGCAAAGAAACAAACATTTGGTGTGCCATATCTGAAACCTTTAAGAAAAATCCTCTATTAGGCCATAGATTACCTTCTTCCAATACAGGAATTATGCTTCTAATTTGTAACAATGCAGGTTTCTGCACATCGTCCAAATCCTTTTCTTCCATTTCCATATCATCTAGAAGCTTTACAAGAACCCCATTCTTCAGTGAAGCCATATTTATGCTAATAAGCAATTTATCAAAAAATCCAAATAAAGCCCAAAGAAATCACACAAAATGGAGAAAAAATGGCGATATGGGTTGGATCAAATGGTCGATATAATGTCCCAAAATCTCAAAAACAGACCGATTCAAGTGAAATTCAGGATTATTTTCTTCAATTATTTGTCCGAAACATCCAAATGAAACCCAAAAGAATAAAACAAACACGAGAAAATGGCAATATGGGTTTGATCAAATGGTTGATGTAGAATCCAAATTCCACAGAAACAGGATGATTATAGTCAATTTCTAGATTAATTTCTTCTACAGAAAGAAGTAGAAAATCTTCGGTCTTACAATTCTTGGCGATAAATCAATTTAAATTCCCCGAGAAAGAAAACAATCGTGAAATGATTCTTCCGGAAGAAGATAAATTCATTGGGCGCTTGGAGGATCCGAAAACGAGGGAAGAGAGTGAGTGGACCTGGAATTCTGCGAGGATTTTGAGCAGAAAAAGAAGAGTCAACTAATAGCGGGAAAATAGAACGTTGTTAAAACGGTTGATCCTCCGCATATCCAACTGCCAAGATAGCATGACTACGCGTCCGTCCATTTCCTTGAATATGCCGAAACACTTTATTTGAGCTACGTTATTTTGATAGAATGTATTTTGAAATAGTAGATTGATCGAGCATGTGATTAAAAAAAGGGAAAATTTATTGATGCGGTGAAAAATATTATTTTATTAAAAAACGTGTGGTTGAAAATGAGTATAAGAATGACAAAGAGAAATTTAACGTGGATCAAAATGGGCTAAAAGAATATGCCCCGTTTGATTTAAAATAGGTCTTCCACAACTTTTTAACCACACATTTCACCAAATTCTAACTAAACATTGGCTAAATCTTATCTTCAAGACGTGTTCTCATGTGTACCTACTCATTATTTGCAAATAACGTAACGATAATGTTTATAGACATTTTTTTCAACAAACGGATTGACATCCTCGGCTTCGATAAAGATTCTTTTAATTGGAATCCTCATTAATCATTTCGATATGGTTTTTCCCCATGTACAGAAAGAAGCCCACCAGAATTTGGCCAAAATACACACAAACGCGTGGGACCCACCATGTATTTTTAAAAAAATGTAAGGGACCCACAAATATATGTATTTTGGTGAAATTCTGTGGGCTTCTTTATGTACATCTAGCCTAACTATTTCGATATAGACAATTCACCTTAAGTTTATTTTGACCGTCTCACTATAATCTTTTATGTACTAAAATTGTTGTAATAATAGATATGGATAGAGATAGATATAATGTCAATCTCAACGTCTACAAGTTAAAATGGTGTTTATCGGAAGATGAAATTGTGCATTTTGGCCTAAATATAACAGCGTATTCAGTCAGCCCACGGCAAGCCAATATTGTAGATGAGTACGAGAACAATGTCAAAATTTGCTGCCTCTCTGAATAAACACGCTTCGTACGCAATGACCAGATTAGCCCTTACTTCATTTTAATTGCAAGAAACAAAATTTTCCATTGTTTAATTTATCGAGCAATTTTGACATACTTGCATAGTTACCTATAACAAGAAATAAAATAATACGAAAAGCAAATGCTAGTTCATGGGGTTGGAGGGGGAGTGGGGCTGGATGTGGAAATTGGGATGAAGACCCCCTTTTTTTTCCTTTTTATATGTACTTTATACATTCAACGTCAAATATGGAGTTTCATGTCAATCTATCGGTTCTTTTAGACGGAAATCATGAGTTGTGACAACATACATCTAAAAAATGAAAGGTTTGATCATGTACCTAGTCTTAAGGATGTTTAACTGTCAAAAGATTGATTTAATGAGTTTTTAGAGACATGCATTTTTAGAGACTTACTTGCACGTGCAAGTTACTCTCAAACTTGCATTTTTGCATCAAGAGTATCCCTTTTTGCATCCTAGGTGGCTCACACCCTGGATGGTGCAATCGAGCAAAGATGAAGATAAAAGTAGAAGTGCAAAAGGAATTAAACTTACTCGCACGTGCAAGTTACTCTCATTATTTTGCCTAGTTCAAGGATATAAATGGAATTATAAAAATTCTAATACCCTCAAGATTCCATTAAATTTTCAACTCCATTGACCATTAGTAGTATAAATAGATGTCAGCTAGTAGTTCATTGCTACATTCATTACATGACAAAACATAGTATAAAAAATATTATTCAATATGGATGGCTTAATCCCATTTCTCTTCCATGCCATGAAGAAACGAAGGACTCAACATTCTTACCGATCTCTCTCCGAGAACTCCACCCGCAGCTATCACCTACTTCGTGGTGGAGAGTCGGTCGAGGGATCGTCTCACCGGAGAACACGATCAGAATTTCTGCCACCGAGCGTTGATTTCCTCGAGCAGCGATCATCGGGCTTGGAATACTTTTCCCACACGAAAAGTTTCAGCAAAGTTTGCAAGTCCTCTCCTAATGTTGTTAATGGCTTGAGGCAAATGGGTCCTATTTCTACCACCAATCTTAAGAAGTAAATGTGTTTGGTAGTGGTTATTATATTACGTGTTCATTGTTTGAGTGCAAGAATTTTTTATAGAATAATAGTTTGTGGAGGCGAAATGTTTTGGAGAATTGAAAATAAGCATAGATTTAGATTTTCGAACATTCATGTAATACTCGTCGGAACAAAGTGTATATTTGATTCATATTTCATATGTAGAAATTAATGTCGTTTAAATGTATGTGAAGATTTTATTATTGTGCAATATAGACATAACTATTTTAGCAAATACCATTTTTTTTTGGGCATTGAATCGGGGTATCAAATAGTAAAGGGGATTAAGGGGTTGTATGACTTTTGATAAAAGTTTTAATAGATTTTAATAAATGTTTATGTTAATGTATGGTTGACAATTAATAAAAAATGTGGGGTTAATATTGAAATTTAACCCATTAAAAAATTGAAAAAAAAATATTTTTCAAACAATTACCATGGGAAAAAAATTGATAGACATTGAAACAATTAAGTCTTAAGTTTGTCTCTCATTTTTTCGAAATTCTTTTTTCTACATACTTCTTTTCAATTACACATTAAAATATTCACACGTAAATTTATTTAATGTTAAGTGGGGAATATTTACTATTTACGGAGTAGTTAAATACTTATCCAAAATATTATATTCCATGAACTAGATATGTCGTGTGTTGTGGTGATGAGTTTAGGTGGCTTCCACGTGACAATGATTAAATTAAGCTCTTGTTTGGTGGGGATTAAAATTAATTTTTTAGTAAATTTTGATAAAAATTGATAAAATGATGATCGAAAATTGTGGGACCCATAAAATATGTGATTAAATTTAATTATCGACTTTAACTTAAATTAAAATCTGAATTTTAATCGATACCAAACATGGGCTAAATATCGAAATATACACACATTAAGACAAAGAAACAATTACGGACCATCTTGCAAATTTGAAAAAGATGTAAGAAGAAAGTATGATCGTTTTATCGAATATGATAAAACTTTCGCTTTTTGCTAACAAATGTCTGGTTTGAACTTTGAACACACATTTTCAAAAAAACTATAGCTATTGCAGCATAAATTAATTAGTAAAATATATTTATTAATTTCTTATATGTGAGCATTTCCGTAATCGTGTCTCAAAATAAAACAAATAAAGCAACCAAGGCTCGTACGAAAACCATTTCAAGCCATTTTCTCATGAAAAAAATTGCAAAAACAGTGTAGATCATTTATATAAATGGCATGCACACTAGAGATTTTCTTCAATTTCCGAGCGAGTTCCTAACTAGCTCTTACTTTATTACCAAAATAAATAATATAGTTTTAGCTTTTATCAATAAACTTTTTGAAATATAATTTCTAATTTATAAGTATCTTTACTTAAAAGTATATTTCAAAAAATAAAAAATTTACTTTAAAAGTTAACTACTTTTTGAGCTTAGCCACAGCAACCCGGTCATTATTGAAACAAAATGCAATAAATTTGACGCACAAAAAACAACAAAAAAATGTAATTTAAGCCAGATAATAGTAACATGACTCCACAGTAAATTTATAAAAGAGGATTCTGGATTTGTGGGGTTTAAGAGAATCTTTGTTTCAAGTTTGAAGTTGTAATGCAATCCTCAAATAAAGCAACTAAACGGTTACAAAGCCAAGAGAGCTTCAATTTTGGCAATCTGATCTTCTTCATTCTTCGGGGTCGGACTCCTATTCGACTCCTCGTAAAGATCATGCTTCCATTTATCAACATGGCCACCAGTTGAACGATAGCCTTGCCTTCCACCGAGCCTATCTCTGCCGCTGTAACTACTGCTGGCACCATTCCTATCTCTGGATGAGTTGCCCCTCCACGCTTCACCTCTTTGTGCCTCCCTCTCGCCCACGATTGATCTCTTGGGTCTGTCATAATTACGTGAGATGTGCTCTTGTACAGCTTGTCTTTCATTGTCTACTGGGAGATCTCGAGGGTTTGCTATTGCCTTGTCAGTTTTCTCAGGATCTGCAGGAATCTTTTGCTCTCTAAAGGAAGGCCTTTTACGTACAGGTGGTTTTGGATCAGCCTCCATTTCGAAGTACCCATCATGGCGCCATACACGACTATCTTCCCCGTTGTCTCTAGGTTTCTCGTTCTTTAGCTGTGTATCACTTACTACTGATTTATTTTCCATCCTGTCGCCATACTGCTCCTTAGTATCTCTCCTCCATCCACGTTCTTCACAAGAAAATAATTTAAATTATGTTTTGTGAGTGACATGCATAGTTCGATCATTAACTACAAGTTGCCAGCCGATGTAAACAGTAGAAGGCTCTTCAGCAATCTTGAAATAAACTTCAACCTTTCATTATAGTTTGGACAATAAGTTCCCACCGAATGACACTGTACAAATATTCGTTAAATAGTCAAGTGGCCTTTTGTTTCCCATCTTGGACTGCTGTCCAGAAATTTTAGGCAAGGCGTGCTTCCAAGATGACCACGACAATTTAACAAAGATTTGAACAGTTTCAGTCGTTTGGGACTTGAATTATAATGAAAATTTGAAAACAAACTTGCTACCAAGTCAATAGGTGGGGACTAATGGTACTATTTTTTTCGAAAAATTTTCAACACTGTGATGCCCAACTCTCAGGCAAAACAATATTTAGCATTACTTATCAAAACCAGGAAATTATTGTAAGACATAAAGAAAAGACAGGGACACCTGATGCAAGGTGGGTGCTCACATGAGTTGATTCTAGCAAGAAAGAAAAAGAAGCTTAGAATTTGGCATAGTTTAAATTGCTATTTTTCCATAGGAATGGAACTGGCCAACAGGACAAGGAAACAAATTGTCCACTTTCTTGTTAAGCTTTTTGCTTCTTGAAACAATTCCATAGGCTGTTGACAATGTTCAACATCCCCAATAGTCCCTGCTAAATAGAAATGTAAACCTAGGAGTAGTTTCTTATAAGTTTTTCTCAGTTGACAAATAAATGAGTACAACTTAAACAAGTTCACTGGACATCCAATTTTGTACATGTATAACACTGAAATCATCAACCTCGTAATATTTGCAATAGAATCTAACCGCAAAGCATAGTTAAAATCCATTAAATAATAAAGCGTAAACAACATAAAGATTGGAAGATTTAATCAACATTAAAAACTTACCAGTATCTGTCCTGCGACTGAAGCTTCTCCCAACTTGCCCAGCACTACGACGATCATCATGCTGTATAAGACATGCATAGGCAAGCCTAATTCTGTTATATAAACTGAAGTAGATTTTTCTTCAAAAAACCGTTGATATCCAAGATTTATTCTAAAATCTGGTTACAATGAAGAGATAACCTGAAGTGGGATGTCATGCGAAATTTAAACATAGAAACTGAGGTAGTTGAAATCATCAGGCTAAACAAAAATCCAAATTACATTAGCGCTGGGTAAAAGGTTTAGCAGAATGAGTAAAAAATCAAATTATGCACTCCAGTAATTTTTTCTTTTCTTTTTCCAGTTAAACACTGAATATGTGTGAAATGATCAATCATATATTACCCGGTAATTCTTAATTACCCTTTTTCTATATGTTTGAGACAAAGGCCAGAGAAGTTACATTGAGTTTAAATTAGAAGGTTCAACCACTTTTGAAGACTTAAGGGTTTATTTATAAGATTTGACAAAGTTTTATAATTAACCATAAATATAATTCAACCCGTTCACTTTTAGTTGAAAACTAACTTACCGTAAAAGATTGGATTTAATTTATTCCATTGGATGTGAGATTAGAGGGCCTTTGTGCCTATTTGACCATGAATATTGCAACACCATTTGTTCATTTATCACTGCAATACGTAGGCTTCACATACGATCCAATTAGAATCATTGATTATTAAACTATCCAAAAAGTACCAGACCTCAGAAATAAAACTACTGGTCATCTGCCAAAAAAATATCCAATCATCAAGTTTTTAAAAGAGTGGATGATCAATATGGCGGGAGGAGAAAACTCTAAAGAAGCTGATATCCAAAAAATTTATAAACATAATACCAGCTCATATGTGCGCAAGTAGATGAAAACAAATACAAGAAAACTTCCTATAATGCTACAAGAGTATTTATTCGTAGTTACAATACCTGAAAGTATGATTGGGAGTGTGGTATTTTAGTTGGGTCAGAAGAATGTTTGGTTCCTTCATAGTGTCCATTAGTCTTGTTTTCAGATTCTTTGGTAACAGCTTGAGTTTCAACCTTAGATTCCTGTGCTGATGTAGCCTCAAGGGGCAATGCATCCTGCAGCCGACGTCGGTGCTTCTGATCCCGGTCCAAATGATCTTTATGCAATTCAGTGTCAGTGGGCAGTCTTTCAGTAGCTGGTTTACCATCCCTCCTAGATCTCTTTGGGCTAGCAGGATGCAAGAGGGAATGGATCATGTTGGTGAGAAATTATTCAATTACTACCAAATACTTGAACTACATTCTATGTAAAGAATAATCAATTTGCTTGCCAGAGAATGTATCAAGAGCATAAAGCATTGTGCAAGAGAAAAGACCAGTTCAAAACTATGCAACGGTCAACACTAATTCATGCATAACATTTTCTTTCTTTTCCTCAACATGACAATCCTATGTGCCTATTGCAAGGAAATGTCCTTTTTTTCTCTTCTTGGCAAGGAAAGAACAAATGAAATGAAATTCAGGGGAAAGGTAAACATTATGATAAAATCCAAGTTATCAAAATCAATGATTTCTAGTCACGCAATCGCTAAATCACATGTCAAGGGTGTAGTACAGACAGGTGCCATCTATGGATCCAAAAGCCAAGGCTAATGAATGTCATTGACAAAAAGATAATTTCACATGCAAATGTGCAGAATCAACTCAGCAATACAATTGAGCTTATCAACACGGAGAATCAACTAAAAACAAACTTTTGAAGTTTCAAAATGGGCCACCTGGAATCACTAAAAGATGCTGGCGGCCAGTATAAAGCCATAATCTCCCCGACAATGAAAAATTGGGAATGAATAAAACACAGCAGTCCACTGATTTTATAGCTGTTTCTTGCCTACAGGATTAAGTTTCAAATCATCAACGTACAGAAATTAAATCAAGCGGAATAACAGGCAAGAGATTTTTACTCTTACTTAATCCCGTGATTCCGTCATTTTTTCCTAAACTAAGAGTCCAAAATTTCTGAAAATAACTCAGCTATATTCACGTATTTCAGGAGAGAATAAATCCAAGCCTCCATATTTACAAATACAAATAACTAAAAATTCCAACTTTACACAATTAATCGCATTTATGTCATCATGTCCATTGTATCAAATCCCTAAGTTTTACCTACATTGGATAATAAAAGAAAAATCTTAAATCCGGTCTAGAAGAAACCTAATTTCATTCCAAAACCAGAAAACTTGACAAAAATGAAAAAAATTCGATCGTCAGGCTGAAAATTAAAATGTAAATATGAAAAATACGAGAAAAAGGTGGAATTTTGTTTACCTGGCTTCACGGTCGAACCGCGAACGATGACGTTTCGAGTCGTAATTACGGTCTTCTCGACGCGACATTAGGGTTGATGTTGTGCAGAAAGGGGGAAATTCTCAGCTGTCTATAGATACAAGTCATAGACAGTGTACATATCGGTGCATACAACGACTGAACGATAGTATTTCCTCTGAGCAATGCCAGTAGAGGAGGAAGAGATGTGATGTATATTTTTAAATTACCAAAATATCCTCTTTAGACTCTTGGTCCTTAACTTACTATCAATTTACAAGTTAGTCTCTAACCTATAAAAATGAGAAAATTGACCTTCATTTACTAACTAATTTTTAATGATGAAACACCAAAACTCTGTTAAATCACCACATTACAAAATCAGCATTATGAAGGGCAAAAGTCGTCTGGATAAATCTAATGAGTTTTCCATTCATAACGGCAAAACATGCATATTTTTGTAACAATTAAACGAGTCTAAATTTGTTGTCTCTGTAAGAATGTTATATAAACAGTCTAAAATCTCTCCTCTGCTTTAACTAAGAATTGTCGAATACAGAGAATGATTGAAATTTTATATGTAGCGATGCTTGACTTGTATATTTCATAGTATGGTTATAGTAGGGTAAGTTTTGACACTTTTGCTATATGAGAGCATAACTAATGAGTATATGTTTGTTGTAGCTCATGGAGTTCAATTCCGTTGATGTTGGTTTAGCACTAATGAATGTCCTCATGATTCAATTTTCGACGCTCATATATTATTTCTGATACAATTGTTATATGTTTCAATATTGGCTCTGCATAACTTGATACACAATTGTTCTATTTCTCTAACTCCTTGCCTAAAATGTATTGAGAATGAGGTGTTTGTAAAATGTGAAGGTATATAATCATAAAGTTGCCCAACGTTTTCTTGGAGCTAACATGGTATCCTGATGCTTGGCATTTCAAATTTGTTGCATCTTTCTAAATACTTTTCTTTGGAGGCTTGTGCAGATAGTAGAAAGGTTTTGATTTGAATAAATATCTATCTTTACATGAACTTCAATTCTTCTCCGACAACTTAACACAACATTAATTACCGGTTTTTATGAGTCAACATCCTAAAATCCCAAACGAGAGACTGACGATCCATCTTTACAATTTCTTGCTTAATGGAACACTGATCGCTAGGTTTTTATGAACCAGCAGAACTAATATGACTGAAAAGGGTTGTGGCTGCTTCGTTTATCAATATGGTTTATGGCTACATAATTGAAAATCATCCCAAGTGGACAATTGGACTTCAAATTAGTACATAACTTGTTACTTGAAATGAACCCTTTCAAATTTCATCTGGAAGATTTTCAGCTAGTCCCAACACTAAGCTAACCAATTACAATATCATGGAACCAATTTTTCAACTTTGACCCCTTGTAAATCTTTGCGATAACCATTATAAAACAAGAGGTATTGACCTCAATCCGGTATCCAAGAACATCAAATACCTCGAAGCGACACGAACTTAAACATAAACATGAATATAAAATATTAGCAGCACAAAAAATAAGAGAACCTGTTCAATTAGAAACTGAAAATAACATCTCCAACGTAATACCATCAACATTATTACACCATCAACATATGACTTCCAAAAACCAACAATGACCTATCAAATACACCATCTATCAACTAGATCACCGCCCTCCAACAGAAGCAACTCATGTTATGTTTGCAAAAATTAAAAGATTCATGAATTTGGTTGAGTGAATTCTCTAAAACTGACATACTTCCTCATTGCATCTCTGTTCTCGCTCATATTTACAAGATGGTCTGCACAACTATTTCCTTGATTTTATATGCGCATTTTCTGGACATCAAATCTCTGCAGTAGACAACAACAATCTTTAACCCACGTTTTATTCGGATTTTCAATTATGTCCATCTCTTTTAGTAGAAAAATGAACACCGCAAAATCTGTTTCCAAGACAACATTCACAAGTCTTCTATCTTTGATATGTGACGAGTCTCAAAATATAGCCCAAAGCTCAATTGTTTAGCTCAACGCGTATCCAATATTGCCAATAAATTTTGCTATCCATTTTCCATAGACCCTAGTCGCCTCTAACAATTCTATAAATTCATGCAGGTCCTGGATTTCCTTCAAAGTTTAGAGCACCCATTTATGTTGAGTTTGATTTTACCTGCACAAGAAAAACTCCAATTGATTAGTTTATTTTCTTTTGAATTTGTTTGAGTCTTCCATTAAAAAGGCTCGTTGAGTATCCTTAGCAATCAAATTCTAAAATGTGAAATGCAATATTCAGAAGGTAATCTTATCTCATCATGTGTTCATTGATTATAGAAACACAATTTAATAATAAACTATGCATAAATCTTCACAAATCTTAATTTCTAATTGTTTTCTTAAGTTTTTATTCGAATCTAGTGATGTTAGTTGAACACGATCGAGCAAATGAGTAATGAGCCATGTTGATCTCATTTTGTGATATCTTCGTTCAATCCAATTTTCATATCTTCTTTTTTTTTTGGGCTATGATTGGCTACTTCCTAATGAATTTGAATCGTACCATTGTGTTATTGATTATTGTTTGATACAACAGATTTTATCATTTGAATAGAATCTCAGTCACTCTACAATTAGTCAGGTACAATGTATTAAACATACTTTAGACAAATATTATACAAATTGAACTAAACAAGATTCAACCAAAAGAAATATGTGAAATCATTTACAATTTTCTTGTATCAAGTTACAAAGTACGCAACCATACCTCGAAGAGTGAGCTGAAACATGCAAATGGGAGAAAAAACACAAACACAAGTAAATAACTAACATCCAACAATTTCTTAGCCCTTCAACAAAAAATCTAATCCTTGGCCAAATCAAAATTCATCTTAACCTCAAGAAGATGATGTTCTTTGATTCTTAAATCTAGTACACCATTTGATCATAAGATCTTCAACATTTGCATCCATTCGTGTGCCAACACCTCCCCAAACTAACATGTGCCCCAGATCTCCAAGTGATGAACCAGTCACCTCATGCACAACCCTAAATCCAATTCTTTTGTAAAACCTTACAAGCTGCAAATTTTGGAAAACTATTAGCAAGTACATTCTGCACAAATCGCAATGAAGATTGTATTTCTAGCATAACAAATTTCATATTATACTTTTAGCTTAGAATTTAGTTAAAAAATTCTAAATCAAAGTCAACGATTAATTTTATCAGACATTTCATGGACCAACAACTTTTCAACCCTATATTTCATCAATTTTTATCAAATCTACTAAAAATCTATTTTTTCCTCGTGAATTCAAAAGCCAATTAATTATTATCATCATTTTGAGTGCCTATCAAATTATTTTCACCATTTTTGTTAGGGACATCACCTCAATCCTCAACTCAATCAAGTTAATACATTGCTCTATTTTTATGTACACACACGAACACGTAAGTTTAACTTTATAAATCCCTTTCTTTCATTCTTTTTAATTATCTACTCACTCAAATCACTCTCAAGACTTCAAACTTACACCCACCTTTCCTAAACACCTTTCCAAGACACCCTACTCGATATCGTCACGAGTTCAAAAAATGAAGTATTCATCTTTAAACATATTGTGACATTTTGAATTAAGGATCCGTGATCCGTCTTATGGATTTTAACTTCCCCTTCTGTAGTCCATGTTCTTAGTGTAAGAAAATGAGATTATAACATCAACATTTGAATAAACATAAATCAAAGCGAAGTAATAAACCTTCAAATGGTAAAGGTCAGTGTCATTGATGGCTAGCAGCTCAGTTTTTTTGCAACCAGAATCATATCCATGTCGAATAGCCACTGCTCCAATGAACAATCCAATACCAAATATTGATTTCTCCATTCCCAGCGTCTCTCTTTGCAGTCTTATTGAATCCAAATGCAGAATTTTGCAGGGATACCAAACCCTAATCACTCCTTCAGCTCTACCCAATTCCCTCTGGGTTTCCAAGCCTTTGGCTGTGATTCTGAAAAAGGGCCCAAATGTTTGAAGCTGAAGATCGAGATTTTGTCTTCTTGATGACTCCATGATCTCGGACATGGTTGGGATTGAGGCTTCGACATTCTTAATTTTTTCAATTGGGATTTTGATTTGAGGAATCTTTTGGGTGGATTTTAAATGGAGTTTTGGTGTAATTGGATTGGATATTTGAATTAGGGAAAATTTGTTTATGGGAAATGATGAAAATTGAATTCTGACTGGAGTCCATTGATGAGGAAAATTAGGTTTCTTCAGAGCTGGTATCGGTTCCATGAATGAAAAAATATCACTAATGCTAAGAATCAGGATTTTTTCACCAAACGTGGTGAATTATCAACCATAGTGCATACCCTTTTCACTTATAGCTTATAAGCTGCTTATTTTATGTTGCTCAAATTTTCGCTTTGAAGACACTACGTTAACACGGTACAGATATGCTTAGGTCCATTTGGCAAAGCTTTCACTTCTTGTATAAGAGCTTCTTGAAGTATCATCCAAAATCTCTTTCGAACAAAACATTATTATTCAAACATGTTTGAAAAAATGTTTTCGAATCTCAAAAGTAATTTTTTAGTTTTCAAAAACCCTACAAAACAACACTCTTAATTCGTACAACTACTGAATTCTTCTACGGACATGAAAATAAATGAACAAATCCACACATAATCCTAACTTTTTTTTATGTAAGATATTTTCAAAGTTCATTCATTACAGGTTTCAATATTACGCGGATTGGGGAAGGACATCCAGGGAAATTACTAGGATACGTGGCACGATACAGTTGGACAATAATAGAAAATAAAAATCACCCACACAGGTGCTGCCACGTTTGGCAGCACCTGTAAAGGACTTGTACATACTTAATATCCATATTATGCTCCATCAATGATCAAAAGATGGGAAACTTGAGCAGAGCATTGATATTCTTTAATTTCACAACCTGATATGCACCACATTCTCCAAACAGAAAAGGAAGATCCATAGCATCTCATGGCTTAATGAGGAAAATGTAATAATTAAAACAAAGTGGTAACTATACGAGGCATTAATGTTAAGAGCACGATCTATACAAATCTGTATCGACTATTAAGGTAGAATTCGATCATATCATATGCAACCCCAAGCCAAATATGTCACATGAAAAATACAAAAATAAGCAATAAAACTGTTACTTTTTATAGGCTATCCAATGAATTCTTGAGGAATTAATAGAAGTGTATATATACATGAACAAACTCATAGTTTTTTCCATTCTATTGCAATACAGTCCTTTGGTAAAACTCGAAAAGCTTTTGATATCAGATCTTTCTTTTCTTTTCTTTTTCTTTTTCACGGCCTAATTCTAACGAGTTTTCATTTTGAAGCAGTGGACTGCTCAAATATCATGAACTTGGTGCAGGGAAAAAATGCACTTCTCCTGATACTGTTTTTTCTTGTTTGTTCAGGTTCGTAAATTTTTTATGCGTTTTGGCATTATTTTCCAGATAGAAGATTCATCACATGTTTTATTTCCCGTTATTTTGTTGCTTAAAATGCCAAAATCCTTAAAGTAGAGATATTTTGGTGTATATATCGACAAATTTATTGTTATGCGAGGTTTACCAATTTTTGGTGTATGCGATCTACAGGTCTACAAGCGTATTCGTTGCATTATGATCACACATACACTAATGAGGCAAGCTCCCATTTGGATCAAAATTCACTTAAGCATAAAATAATATGTTTCTCTTGGATAAATTTGAGGTAAAAATCAATTATTTCAGTGTTTGGCAAAGCCAATGGAACCTCAGTATTCTGGAGGCATGGTTCTAAATCCAGAACTGGAACATGGACTCAAGGGCTGGACACCCTTTGGAGATGCAAAATTAGAACAACAAGAATCTGAGGATGGAAACAAATACATTGTTGCTTCAGACAGAAGTGGACACCGTGACAGTTTTTCACAAAAGTTTCACTTAGAAGAGGAAAAACTTTATGTCTTATCTGGTATAAATTCTTCCAAAAAAGAAGGAAATTGTGACACTGATTCTTTACCTTTATATTGAAACAAAAATAATTCAAATTATAACTTATTTTGGGTGCGCATCGGGTTCTTTTTGCAGCTTGGTTACAGGTAAGCCATGGACAGGCTCACATTGCTGCAATATTCAAGACAAGAACTGGGGACCGGCCTGCTGGATGGGTTATGGCTCGACAGGGCTGCTGGTCGATGCTCAAGGGTGGCATAGTTGTCGATGCTTCCGGTCTGGTTGAACTCTTTTTTCAGGTACACAAAATTTCCCATTTTCTGATTTTGC